CCTTTACTATGCATTTAGAAGACCCTCCTCATTATTTACTTATTCCTTCATTGCAACAAATGCTCATTAAGTGCCCGCTATGTGTTGGGCACTTTTCTAAACACTGAATTTATAATTATGTACAAGTTCAACAAGTTCTCTGCTTCTATGAAGTTTTAATATAAGACAGAAAAAACACAGACAACAAAAAAGGGACATCACCATGCTGCAGAAACAACAGGAAATTTAATGAATGTGTACAGAAAAGTTTTTTTGTAGAGAAGACTCAGAAGCCTAGGGCTCAGTGATATGGGGAAAAGATCTGTCCAGGCAATGGATGTTCAGAATCATCTACAGCCTGTGTCAAGAAAGTTGAAAAGAGATTGGCATTTTAAGAAATAAAAAGGTCAGTGTAGGGGGAGCTGGGTTCATGACACTAGAGAAGCAAGAAGGAGTTCAAAAGCTATGGCAGGGAGTTTAGCTTGAAATCAAAGTTTGACAGAAAGTCCTGAGAGGCGAGAGGCAGGGCCCTTACACCATTCAATTTGTGTTCGTAATGATCACTTTGGCAGCTAAGTGGATAGTGGATTAGAAAGTGAAAAGAACTTGAATCTCTAAATGAGGTGATGAAATTTATACTCTCCTAGACACTCAGCCACTGTCTTTGAGTACAATATTAATAATAGGAGTGACTACTTATGGGGAACTTATGTGCTAGATAGTGTAGACCATGTATGAACACTATATAAGTCACTCCACTGAATACACAGACAAATACACACAAATGAACCATCAAAGTCTGATCACTGCCACTGGCAGAACTATGCTTGGATCAGGTTTCAAATGCCTCCAAACTTTCAAGTGCATTCTCTGCAGTTGCTTGATTAAATCCTTTAATCTCCACTGAATATATGTAATATACAATTATAGTAAAGAAAATCATGTTTTTAAGGATACTTATTTCAGGAAACTCATTTGATTTTCAACACAAACCTATAGGTAAACGGTGAGTAAACTTATGAGTAAATGATGGAAAATAGTTCCATAGTTCCTAGGTCTAAAATATAATCTTTAATCTCTAGTCACCTGAATGTTTTTACTTCATTGCCTTAGGGATTAAGAATTTCTGCTAAGGACCTAAGACACAATACTCATGAAGAAAAAAAAAAATCATAGCCAACAAGTCAAGTTCCTAAAGTTAAGTTCGTGAGTGTGGATCTTCTCTGCAAAGTAGAAGATAGGATTACGGTGATGAAAAATCAGTGGGGTCCTCTGAGAGTGCTCTAGAAGCCAAGTCAAGGTTGGACTTTCTAAGCCAAATTATCATCGTCACAGTTCTGATAAAATTCTAAGGTTATTATTTAAACAAGTTGGGAAAGGTGACAGTTACACATCAAACATGTGAGTACAATACCTGCTGCTTCTTCCAAATGTGGATGCTTTTTTAGTACTCTGTGTATCAAAGAATCATCTACAAACTTCTGTTATTCTGTTGGCTAAAGAATTATGAATCTGTTGCTAGCTACTTGCTGACATTTTTAAATCACTTTTTAATGACTGCATATGAAGTGTCCCCCAAAAGGCTCATGTATTGGGGTCTTAGTCTCTAACTGATGGCTCTAGGAGATGGGGCCTAGTTGGAGGAAGTAGGTCACTGTTGGTGGGTCCTTGAGGGTATTTTGTCCCTGGGGCTTCCTCTCTGGCTCTATTTCTTATCCACAATGAAGCAAAGAACCTCCTCCACCACACTCTCCCACCACCATGATTTTCTACCTGAGTGCATTGGGTCAAACACCCACGGACTGAACACTCTGCCATGAGCCAAAATAAATTTGTTCTCCTTTAAGTTGTTTTATGTCAGGTGTTTTGTCATAGGGATGAGAAAAGTAACTAATAAGGTAGCTAATACACTATCCCTTGTAATCCACATATTTCTTGAGCCATTGAAATAGCTTATCAGTTAAATTTCTATATTTTAGAATACATTCCACTGAATTCATGTGTTCTACTCTACTCCAATTAACCTATCTTACAGTACATTATAAATGCACTTGTTAAAAGCAACCATAGTTTAAACTATGATAAAGTCCATTGTTACAGCATATAATGTAGTTAATGAGTACCTGAGGTTTCAAAAGTATTGGGTTAAAAACTACGCCATGTATACATACCACTATAATCTTTTAAACTAAAATTTAAATATTATTAAGTATCTATCTTCTCTAGAAGGGACTACAAGAAATTTTCCATTATATGAATAGAAGAAGAAACTAACTACTGCAGTAGATAATGTAAGACAGTAAAACATAAGAAAAAATATGTTTGAGCTTATTTTCTGTAATGCATTTTACTTTTCTAAACTTATTTTGCCTTTATTAAGTTAGGTTGTAGGTCCCAAACATATACTGAAGGACAGCAGAAAGCACTAGTCTGAAAGTGTAATTATAAAACTAAATATAATAATAAAAATAGGGTAAGTTTCCAAAGAACATTTGAAAACTGAATATAAATTTGTTATTCACTATAATAAAAAGTAGAAAACGCTTATATTTATTGAAGAATGAACCAGGTCAAAGGAAAAACAAATTTACCTAAAAGTGCCCTAAAAATTATGAGCAATTTAACTAGAACTTTACAACTGACAATTCAGGCAGAAACTGAATTAGAATAAGGAGGCTGATCAAAATGAATTCAAAGACTCCTAGAAATTGAATGTACTCTCTTTTATTGTCTTTTTATGTGTGTACATGAGCCCACAGAGAAATTAAGGCAAAGAGATATAATTTAAATTGTTTAAAATTCAGTGAAAATAGAACTAGAATCCAGCTCCAGAAGCCTTTAGTTTTCTACCTAATTTTCTTTTAATCCATATAATATTCTACATTTTTTGCAATCTTTCAACATTTAGCATATGCTAGAAGTACTTTTTTTCTCCCCAATTCATTAATACTACTTGTCCTTTTTAATTCATCATTTTATAATTATTGTTGACATATGCTGAGCTCTTTAGAAATGCCAGGCACTGTTCCAAGCTCTCTATGTCATTTAATCCTCCCATTAATTTTGGAAAGTAAGTATAACAACTATTTCCATTTTATAGGTGAGGAGGCTGTCACACGTGCTCCCTTAGCCTGCTTTCTCAACCACTGCTGTGTTCTGAATATGGTCCCCAAAGAGAAGTCTCCATGTCCTAACCTCTGGAACCTACTGAATGTGACCTTGTTTGGGAAAAGGATCTTTGTGGATCTTGAGGTGAAGACAGATCCTAGAATGTGGGGTGAGCCTAAATCCAATGAAAGGAATCCTTATGAGAGATGAAGAGGAGACAGACACAAAGGCATGGAAGATGGAAGCAGAGACTGAAGTGACATGGCTAGAAGTCAAAGGACTGGAACCACTGGAAGCTGCAAAAGGAAAAAAAGTTAATTCTCCCCCAATGCCTGGGAGAGAGCATTGCCCTGACATACTCTGGACTGAGAGGCTCTGAATCTGTGAGATAATATGTTTTTGTTGTTTAAGCCACCCAGCTTGCAGAAATTGTTACAACAACCTTAGGAAACCACCATACTATATTGCCACTGTCTAGGAACATTTTTGACTATCCAATATGTTTAAATTTATTTTTACTTTTTGTGGTGCTGGGGATCAAACTCAGGCCTTTACACGTACTAGGCAAACACCATACCATTAAGCCACGGTGCCAGCCCCACAATCCCAAATTTTAACTCAAAGAAAGACCTAACAAACCTTCTCTCCATTTGTACAATGAAATCACCCTCTTAACTGAACCCTTACTGTGACACATTTCCCTGAATGCTATATCAGTTAATAGTTCTTGTAGAAACTTGTAGAGTTGTAGAAACAATCAGAATCTGCTTTTATTCCACCTTGAAGAATGGCAATGCAGGCTTTTTCATTTAAAATAACCAATGCCTTTGCCCAATTCCCAGCCTACTTGACACACTAATTGAATTAGTACAAATAATATGACCCTATTTTCATTTGAAAATGTAATTCATTCTAACATTAGTATTCTGAAAACTTCCTAACATCTGAATCCAGAAAATAATTGTTATATGTGAATATGCATTTACCACACTCTTTGAAAATTAAAAAAATATATACTTGATGATTCAAATATTCCATAACATATTTTTCATTTATTTATTCTTACTGAAAATTATTTCAAATTCTATTTGATATTGTGATGGATAGTCTCTGTTTATCCCTCTATACCTACTTTTTACTATCCTTGCCCTGCACTGGGTCCCAGTGTTGGAGGGAAGAACCATCCAGAATCTCACCCATACTTGATTTAGATGATAAGATATGGGACTTCTAAGCAGAAATATTTAAATGAGATGTTAGATCTCATGATTACACTCACATCAATTGTATGCCCTTCTTGCCCTTTGGTTGTGGTTGAGTTCAGTTGGTAGGAAGCACTGGCAGATAGAAGGCAGGACATGAATGGGGTCAGGGCATTTGTTCCCTCTTATCTGTTCAAGGATCGAAGGGCAGCCAATGGCTATGCTCCTCTACCTACGGTCTCAGTTGGAGACACCATAATTCTCCAGGTGCTACTGGCTTTTTTTTTTTTTTTTTTTTTGTCCTTCAAGTCTCAGGCAATGGAATTGTACCCCCCCCCCTTATCACAAGACCTTGGTGCTTCCCATCATTTATGTGCTCTTTTTACCCCATCCACACCCCCATAAACTCTTCCAGTCACCCCTTGAGTGGGCTTTCAGTCTTTTGCTAGACCCTCACTGGAGCAGCAATTGAGTGTCCCCTAAGAGCATCAACCTAACATACTGAATAACTTCTTCTAATCAAATTACTCTAGGTTTCCTGAGCACTTTTATTTCAAATAATTACAATTGATTGTGATAGATGTAGATCCTTTTCTCCTGTAATAGCAGCAAAAATAAAAGATGGTCTTAGAATGATTCTGTTCCCCCTCAGGCACTTGTCCCTAAAATCTGATTGGGTTCTTATCACTGAATGATTTGGTTCCAAAATACCTGTTATCACCATCAGTGATGCATTCTGGGAAGGCAAGGCTGCAGCCAAATAGCATGATATGTTGATAGCAACCAAGGCGATGGAGATAGATGAAGAACTTGAGGAACTTCTCCAATTCCATGTTTTTCACAATTGAGAAGAGAGGCATTAGTGTGGTATGGTAGGGCAGCATCTGACATTGGCTGTGGGTGATATTCATGCAGGCACCTAGGAAGTGAGGACAATTACATTTAGAAGTGGACACCTCAGAAATAAATGGTTACAAACTCATTTTATATGACATGTTAGTATGCTTATATGATAAGACATATTCTATATTATAGTAGGCAAGAATTATTATAGATATATATAAGTATACATATATTTGCATATACATAAGTATGCATATGTGGATATAATAATGAAATCAATCCATAGTATTTATAGAGAGAAGCCACTTGTTTTCTGGGAAAATGTATAGAAAAATACACACTCTCATACAGAGCTAGTGGGTAACAGCTGGGTAGTTAATATATATCAAGGAAAAAGTTTTAAGCATGCACTTTCTTTGACACTACAATATCATCTCTAGAAATTTATACTAATAAAATAATCATGCTTGTGAACATAGATTTATTTACAGGGTTCTTCATCTCTGCATAGTTCATTATTTCTAAAAGACAGAAATCTATCTAAACATTCAAAAGAGGATTATTTTAAAATACAAAGAATAGAATTCTTAACTGGTGTATGAACAATGCTTTAAAAGACCAATCACATGGAGTGATGCTCATAATATAAATAAATTAAAATAGAAGTCATGCAACAAGCCATATACTATGATCTTATTTCTCAATGCCCACAATTATACAGGGATTACAATCCCGCCTAGATTACAGTTCAGGACCATCTCAGAACCTCTGGCTTCACTTTCTTTCACAGTGACTCTTCTGAACACCACCACATCCATGTTCTTTCCAATGCTTTCATTCCAGATATTTGCCTGTTTGGTCCAATATAAGCCAAAATGTTGACATGGGTTCATATGAAGGCATTTGAGGAGAGTGTTATATATTTTTATTCTATATTACCTGATTGGTTTATATAAAGACTTATTATTTTTAATTTAATTAAAGTTTGTTGTTCAAGCAAGCTACTATTTAAAAGCAAAAGCTTCCAGCTGTAGAAATGGAACAATTGACTTTATTTTGAGGGAGAAAAGGGAAAGTTCAACAAGAATGGGAATGACTTTTCTAGTTGCTATATAATTTCCAGAGAAATGATGAGAACATTCTCTCCAAACCTAAGGTTAATTCTATTTTTAAAAAACATAATACTAATAAATAAGTCTGCATCTCTGATAATATGGCCAAACTCATCTGTAATCCAGGATAACTGCAGACTCTAACAGCAGGATTTTTATCCTACCTGCTTCCTATCACTTCAAAGTCTCTTTCTGGTCCTTGCATGGTCCTTCCTGGGCTTTCTTCTAAGCGTATTTCTAATCTCACTTTTCTTCCAATTCCTCTGAAAACTTTCCAGCCCTATAGGAAGCCCTTCCCCCAAATGACCAGACTGTAGCCATGAGATCAAAGAGCTCCATACTTCATTAAAAGATACAATTCCCCGTTGTTAGATAATTCATTTATCACCCCAATGTGCTGAGCTCAGTAGGGCAAGATCAAAACATGGTTTTTACTTTCAAAGGCAACCAACTGTAGTCGAGTTTCTCTAGACACCAGACCTTGGAATCATAGCAAAGAATTTAAAGGCACATCACTTTGCTGTACCTTACCAAATTCAACACACAAAATGAGTTTTGTGTTTTGTTAGAGAAGAAGAAAAGCTCAAACAGAAATATGGAAATAGGACATAAATACACAGATATATATAAAATATATAAATAATGATGTATTTATATATAAATAATAAATATATATTTGTGTATATATAAATTCAGTTCCCCATAAATCCTAAGGTGGGACATTCTGGATAGGGCTCATAAAGATGTCACTCAAGATATTTAGTGAGGGAATTTAAAACAAATTTCAGTATGAAAAGAAATTATAGACAGGGAGAACATAGAGAGTAGATTCGAAAAATGCCACAATTGTGTGTATTGTGCTACAAAGAAGTTTGCTTATAATATCTGACAGTAAACTTTTCTCCATCAAAAATATGAAATAAGCCAAGTGCAGTTGTTCACACTTGTAATCCAAGCTACTCAGGAGGCAGAGATCTAGAAGATCACCGTTCAGGGCATCCTAAGCAAAAGGTTACCAAGATCTCTCAATCACTAAACCAGGAATGGTGGCATAAGCTTGTCATCCCAACTATGCTGGAACCACAGGTAGGAGGATTGCTGAGTAGAGCCTGGGCAAAAACTTGAGAACCTATCCAAAAAATAACTAAAGCAAAAGGGCTGAGGGCATTCTTAAGTGGTAGAGCACCTGCCTAGCAAGCTCAAGATCCTAAGTTTAAACCCTATTACCATCAAAAAAAAAATTATATTTGAAATAATTTACAGAAAATTTAGATTCAAGGAGACATTTACTGACAACCAACCTTGTGCTGGGGCACAAAAACAGACACAGAAATTCTCTAGGTCATAATTACCTCACTTTCACAACCCAGTGAATGATACCATACTTATATTATGCTTGAAGAAATTCAGGGTTAAAGGTTAAGAAATCAGCCTAGAGTTTTATAGCTATTAAGAGCAAATTCTAGATTTGAAACCTCTGTCTTCTGAGTAACTTCCATCTGGAGGTGACTTAGAGCTGTTATGTTAAAGTCAGTTCCTAAGGAAGACAATTCCCAATGGCCCATGAAAAGAAGAGGCTGAAAAGGACATAGTATCACAAGGTCTGTGTCCATTTCCTGTCACTCATAACACAACACCCTGGGCCCAGTGAAGAAAAGAGGTTTGTTTCAACTCATGGTTCTGGAGGTCCAAGGCTGAGGGGTCATGGTAAGGGCATTTATGTGCATGGGTGGGGGCCCTCTGCAGAATCCTCAGGTGTGTAGGGCATTGCAGGGTGAAACAGAGCAATCTTGCTAGCTCCGATTTCTCTGACTCTTATAAGCAACTAATTGCATCATGGGGCTCATCCTAAAGACCTTCTTGCATCTCAGTTACTTCACAAAGGCCCCAACTCCATATACCATTAAGATATGATTTTTTTTTTTGAGACAGGGTTTCACTAGGTAGCCCAGGCTGACATCAAACTTGCAATTCTTCTGAGTCAGCCTCCTGAGTGTTGGAATCACAAGCATGTACCACCACCCCTGGCAAAAATATGACTTTAAGGATTCATTTTCAATATGTGAAATTTGAAGGACACATTCAAATCATAGCAATCTGTATAAATGTTTATATATGAAACACACCTATTTACTCAAGATAGAAATTAAAAAATCTTATTTTGGCTGACTATACTACATTCATGTCAGTGTGAACTGTACAAAATAAAAAACATTTCTCTCTCTAATAGCTAATTTACTTGGAAAGAGAAGACCTTTACTGAGGAAATTATGAAACAATATAAATCTTAAAAGTCTCAAAATAATTGGTATATTCCCAAAGAATAATGTCTAATATTTCTACAATGGTTTTGAAAAGTTATCCAAAGCATTGTCAAATTATAATTCTAATAATACAACACATATTTTCTCACTATAAATGAAGAAACTAGGGCTCCCACAAGCATGTAGGAAGATAAAAGAAAGATGATGAATAGACTGCTGGATGGACAAAAAAGTATGCAAATAAACTAGCAGTGGTCTACAGAAAAACACAAAGTCAGTAACAGAAGTACAACTGATATTCAGTTACTCTACCTTTTAGGACAACCTTCTCACTAGACCACAGCTGTCAAAAGCACAGCAAACACTGAAGAATTCCAAAGAGCAAGAATTTAATGTAGGGTAAATGAGGAAAGATTTAATGAAAAGGAAGAACTTATTTTGATGGTTGAAAGACATATAAAGTGAAGATTGACAGAAGGCATATAAGACCACAGTACCAGTAGAGAAAAACAAAAATAACCACAAAAACTACCTCATAATTACATGTGACAAAGGAAAATTGCAAAACTTAAAGTGTGGACAGAAGCAGTCAACAAACTTAACTAAGAATCTGCTTCATAACTAACAAATATAAAGGCAAATTACTTTGTAAGACTCTTGACTTCAACCCCTTTTATATTCAGATAATTGTGTCAATTTCCTATTATCCCTTCTGCCTGAACATGTGGTTCAATAATTATTTTTTCCTAGAATGTTCTACTGTCTTGGAAGCATGTAATTCTACCATTGTATGCGTGCGTATACACTCTCAGCAGGAGAAATGCATTTCATAGCCAGCTACATGCTGTACGCATGAAAAGCCACATCTCTGTGGGAAAGGGGAAGGGCAATTTTGAAAATGGGCTCACTTACCATTGCTTTTCCATCAAGCTTGACTTTAATAAGGTGTAAGAAAGGGGAGGTGGTATTTTTCTTCCTTAAGAATGTACTACTTAGAGGTACTGGTTGATATATAAGGGCACATATAAAATACAGTGGATGTAAATACCTGTAGTGTTCCTGTAAACAATTAATAAGTCTTCTCTTATAGAATAGCTGCTTCCAGTATAGAACTGGGGAAGAGAATATAAAACCAGATATGAAGAACAAATTCCCTTCCCAATGCACTGTGCTTCTGATGAAACAGAAATATTTATTCTTATTAGTACCACAATTTCAAATCATCATTGCTGTTAAGATATGATGCAATAGTAAATTTTCAGAGCATGCATTGATTATAAAACATGTCTCAATGTGAAAAATAATTTAAAATACACAAACAAATGCTTCCAAGAATTTTTTTAGTGAGCTTTGTTTTGTTTTCATAATTGATTCAACAGTTTTCTAGTTCTCTGCTCATGTTTCATTGATACTAATTACTAGAATATCTAGATAATAGAATTAGAAAGGAAAGATGGGTGTTAGGAATTTTCATTAGTGAATTGCAATAAATTCTGTTCTCTTTACTTTTGGAATTAGGTAAAGTGGAACTAGAAATTCTTACGTGACTATTTTTAAATGCATAATTAGCATTTTAAATACATTAAACTAATGTAGACTCAATCTATGGTCCTGAATATGCTTAAAATAATCAAACCCATAGCCCATCTTAGTTAACAAAGCGCTTTGCTAAAGAGATAAGGGAGGAAAAAATCAGATTC